TTTTTTTTTTTTTTTTTTTTTTTCGAACACCGTGCAAATGCTTGCCACCGGATACCTGGCAAGCGTTCATTTCGCGATCGCCGCAACGGGGAACGAGCGAACAAGGGGAAGGAGAGAAAAAAGAAACGGCCGTTTCAATTTTAAAAGGGCAAATACAAATTGCTCCTGCGTATAATCTCTCGGTGAACAACTTGGGCGGAGATCGTACAATGTTACGTTTTTGTCGAGAGATCCGGATCTGAGAATATTTTCTTGCCCGCGCACACGTGTTGGTAAATTTACCGAGGCGAATTTTTATTTGGATTATTACTTCTGTACCGAGTTTATCCGATCTCGTGAAAGAGTTTTAAGAAAGTAAGAAAATAAACAAAATCCGTTCTGAAATTTCTTCTTATTGCGAAACGATTAATTTTAACGAAATTGTAAAGTATTTCTTGAAATCTTTTTTTTCTTTTTTTTCTTTTGAAATAACCATTTTATTAATTTAATTTTAATTTAATTTCGTGGTGACCAATGAATCTTCTTTAAACTTTGGAATACTTATTTCGATAATGAAATCGGTCAATAATTTTAATTATTAAAATATATCAATTAATGTACGTATATGTAAGGAATGGACGATTCTTACATTTCTCTTATTCAATTTAATACCAGCGATGTAACATATGTAAATCGAATTGCGGATAATTATTTATTTCGATAACAGCTCGAAGGAAAGGTTAAGTAATTTGTTACATTTTTTCCAATTCGATATTTCCAAATACGCGAAAAACATTTTGATGGATGAAAAATTTAATTTCATAACTGAATCGCCGTGGGATCGAATAATTTTAACGTTTTGCAACTCGATTTAATATCGATGAGAGTAAAATAAACGCGATTACGTATAAATTACGTACAACACTTACCTTACCAACCATTACCTTATTACCTTCCACGTTACGTTCATCCATTATACGCGGGTGGTCGTAGGCCGGTGAACCGCAGCGTTAAAAGATGCATTCACGCGTGCAAAAAAATAAAGAACTAGGAGGAAGAGAATAAGTGGCCGAACTCGGTGAACTCGACAAGTGATTCCCCCCTCCCGTAACTATAAATAAATGCCGGTGGGACGAGTTCTCTCGCTCGTAAATCTGAAATCGAGGCATAATCGACGCGCGCGAACTGGAATCCGGCCTTCTCGCGATTGCGCGTACGTTCTCGCGTTATACCGTCGGTAAGGCGGGATCCGATCGTCCGCGATCGATAATCTAGAATCCTGTAATGAATCAATCGCGCAGTCAATAGCCACGTATGCATCGGTAAGAAATTACTCGAATTACTACCCCTAACCTTATCATCTTGGCCGCGATTCACCTCGGAGACGGTAATTTCGCGAGCGTGCGATTCACGACTGGTTATAAACATTGTTGTTCCACGTCGAATTAATAAAATACGATAATCGAGCGAAGGAAACGTATAAATTATTTATGGGAACGTTATCAGATTAACCGATGGAAGGAGATACACTCGCACGAGCGGGATACCGAATTGAGACACGAGATACAGATTTGGTAATTGAAAAAAACGGGACGGGATTACGACAGATTTGTTTTCACGAAGAAATATTAAAGTACGATTATGAGCAATTCGATGAAGCGGAATCGTTATCGTTGTACATTCGAAATAAACGTGTTCTACAATTTCTGTATTGTGAAAACTAGTTATCGTTGAACTTCGATTCGAAGCAGCAAGGAATGGATCTTGAATAACGCGATTATCGTCCTACGTTATCGCGTTTAACTTTGAGACTTTAGCAATAGATTTTCGTCCATCGTTGTAAAGTTCAATAACACGACGAAGATAAAAGATTGTAAAAAGTTGAACCAACTCTACTTTCGCGTTTCTTCATCGGTTAAAGGTTAAGGTATAGAAACAATTTTCCCTATCGAACGATTATATTCGCGATCGATTTTAATCTTTTTCTGCGATTTCGATAGACCCGCAGAGGTCACGACTTGGAACACGATCACGTATCGTATTATAGGGATGCAACCGCGTTCATCTCGTACCTACGATACATTATTGCCGTATAGATAATTACATTTGCGGACGTGTGTATCCGTAAGAATTCGATTAGTCTTTTCTTTTATTCTTTTCCAAGGGATTGTACGATCCTACGAATCCACCATCCAGATCGATTACGTTCAAATAATCATCCGATTCAAATAAATCGGATATTTAAAAAGAAAGACTTTTTTTTATTATATCTGATACATCGACGTACGGGTAATGTCGTCGTGTTTTTAGTTGAATTCGAGGGGAGAAGGTCTATTCGACCATTCGGTAAGATACGAAAAGGTTCGATCTATAAATCTTAATTAATCTCGCGGTTCAGAGAGAATCGTTTGTGCCCAGATTAAAAAATATCGAGGATAATTTTCCGCGTGCCTCGTTCCATTTTATCGCGCGGACAAGTGTGACGAGAAACGAGTTTTTGCGGGGCGAAAACGCTCGGATCGGGACAGTTTCGGACAATTGGCGTGATTTTCTCCCATTAATCTTCGCTCGACAATTAACCGGGTACAGGGCTATTAATTACAATCAACGTTATCTCGCGCGCGCGCTGCACCGATATACGACGTTTAATCTCGATGGAAACCACCGAATTCACTACTCCACGTTCAGCTGCCTAACTGGATTAACGTTTCAACGATTTTCGAACTCTCGAACGCCTCGACAACAGCGAACGCTGGAGAAAGGAAAGAACGAAGGAAAGAAACGAAGGAGGAGAGGAAGGTTTCCCTAGTGTCGTCTCCGGTAATTGATTCTCGTTCTATCCGACAGATGCCGTGGTTATGAAGATTTTTTTCAAGAATCTTTTCCGTGCCATCGTTCTCGCGTCGAAACGAGTCGCTTACTTTATTTTGTAAGAAAATGTAGAGAATTGAATTTCCTAAAATCAAAGACAATTGAAACATCAAACGTTTAATTATACAATATTTGTTATACATTACTTGGCATGGTGTATATTTGATTCAACGAGTGTAGCGAGATGATATCTATTTCAAAATAATAATCTCTTCGGATTCTTTTCCATCGACGCGCGCCAATTTTTCGAAATCTCCATCCATCGATCCGTGGACGAGGGACACGCGGTCGAATCAAAGGTAGAATTTTTAAATTTTCGAAACGAAAGGAAAATGGAGAAAGCGCCCAAATTTATTCCATATCAACCAGAACTTCGATCTTCCTTACCTTCCACTTCTTGCCCGACCAGTCGCCTCTTTCGAAGGATTAGCGACGCGCGTGGAAGGCCTGGTCGATTGATTCACGGCCCCGCTGGTGAACCGGGAATCAGGACGGATAAGGTGGTAAAAAGCGGGGAGAAGAAGCGAGAAAGATGGAAACAACGGAGCAGAAGGAGGGTTGAGTGCTGCACTCCCCTTCCCTCTCCCCTCCTGGAAGATCGAGGGAGAGGAATACGGGTCCGTTGATTAGCAGATATCTTAATTACCGATTGGCCGCGCGGACTAATTAAATCGTAACTCAATCAAGGGGCGACCCTACCCCTCGCACCGCTCTTCGAGCGAGCGCTTGAAGAGCGGTGGCGCGTCGTGCACGGTTGCGTGAGCGATCGGATATCGCACGGCGTCTCCTTTTCTTTTTAAAAATCGGCGGCGACGAAATAAAAAGTAGGGTAATTAGCGTTACCTACCGCGACGTTTCCTCCCTCTTTTTCGCCTCGAGGATTATGAATTTTTCATTTCTCGCGTGTATTGGTTGGAGACGATAATAATTAATATCGAGGCTGGTTGGAAAACGAACGGACTCGTTATTATTCGCGTGGTTAGATCCGTAATCGGATATAAATTACGCGGCCGAGACGCGTGATCGAGATAATAGAGAAAAATGGGGTTCGGTCGGAAAGAGAAGAGAAGGCTCGAGAAGATGAAGACGTTGTCGTTATTAGCGTGGCTTCCAGCTGCAGGAAATCTTCTATCTCTCTATCTCTCTCTCTCTCTCTCTCTCTCCGTCGTAACGCGCATTCGTTAGCATGGATAATGAATCACCGCGCTCCTGTCGCGCGAGAGAACGACGAAAAGAATTGGCCGGTGGTTGGTCGTCGCGACGACAACGGGTCGCGGTTGCAGGCCGGAACGAGGGGAGAGAGTTGGGAGGGGGCCATTAAAAGCAGCGGGTATCCGTTTCACGCGCTTTTTCCACCTTAGTTAGCCGGTTGCTCGACGAAATTTCGACTCCGTAATCGTGGTAATGAATCACCGGCCGATTATTTCGTACCGAACCTTATACACGCTGCCTCGCTGAATTCCATGAATAAATTTCTTTTTCTGGCCATCTGTGGCTTAAGTAGGAACCGTTGTCGGATTCGTTATTGTACACGAGGAGAGAACGACTTTATCGGAGGGATAGGGCGGAGAAAGAGGGAAAAGCTCGGCTATCGAGGAATCTTGCGACAGATCGTCGCCTCGAAACCGGCGTTCGTCGATTAATTATACGCACAGTCTTTAATCTCGACGAATGGATCACGATTTATATAACGCTTGTTCTATTGTTTCGAGAGAGTTAATTGTATTTTCGATTTTATTATCGTATCAACTTTCTAATTTTTCACATAAAAGCTGAGTGCGAATTGCGTGAAATTTGAAATATTCTCGATAGAAGAAGAAGAAGAAGAAGAAGAAGAAGAAGAGGAGGAGGAGGAGTAACTTATTCCAAATTATTGAGAATCGATTTTTGAGTCTCGAAAATGGTTCGACACGACGTCTCCGTGAGTTCTTGCTCCTCCGGTGTATACGGGTGACGAAGAAGCGTCTCTATGCCGTTTCTGCCTACTATACACGGCAGGGACATGTAAACGTCTTTCTCGAGACCGTGCCGACAACCCTGGTTACGAATAACCAGACATAGTGAATATCAAATGGAGGAAAAGAGAAAAAGATACAATTGATTCCCTTACCTTCAAGTAGGTGGAAACCGTGACGCAGATGCAAGTATTTCGTACGATGGCGTCGACAACCTCGGCGGCGCAGATACCCATCCCCCAGCACCGATACCCTTTCCTCGAGATAAGATCGTTGTCGCAATCGATTACTTTCGCGTGCAGCTCGCCCCAAGATTCCGGATCCGCTTTAGTACCGATGTCTTTGTTTATGTCCTTCAGCTTGATCCCCATCACCGTCACGGCAGACCAGATCGGCACTGTTCCCGCGTTATTTCATAAATTTTTCGCGGAAACGATAACGAATAACTCGTAGGCTGGGCTTTATTTGTTCATTTATTACCAGACGTGGGTCCGTTCTCGCAAATTACGGAGGCCTGCACCGAGCTCGCCGAAATTCCAAGTTTCTGCGCGATGAAGTATTGAAACCTACAGCTGTCCAAAAATGTGCCCAGCCCCACCACGCGATGCGGTGGGAAGCCCGAGAGCTTCATGGCTGCGTACGACAGTATGTCGACTGAAACGATTGATTTTCGTGCGTAAAAAGGGAAAGGAAAAAGATCGGCGAAAAAAAGAGAGCTGTACCTGGAGCTGTCACGATCAAAAGTATACTGTTGGGCGCGTACTTGCACACTTTCGGTATAACGTCTTTGAAGATGTTCAAATTTTGCTCCAACAAAGTGCTCGGATCTTGTTCGTTGGTCGATCTATCACCGATCGTGATCACGCACACCGTCGCGTCTCTGGCCAGCGAATAATCTGGGGAAACGGTCGAAATGCCTTTCCATTGTTTCGTTCGTCTCTCCATTTTGTCCCCCCTCCTTCGAAACGGGATAAGAAAAAAAAAGAAATATTTATCTTCGCTCGTACCTTTGGTACCGATGATCTTCGGGTTGCCGAGGAATGCAGCGCCATGGCTGATGTCTTCCGCCTCTGCTTTCGCCAATTCCTCGTTCACGTCTATGAACACCAGCTCGGAGGCGAGCCGCTGCAACGTCGTAAAGGGAGTAATTAACCGGGGGAAAGCTAGCCGAAGGGCCCAAAGTTATTACGCGATCGATCCCTTAATGCGCTCGATCGTTAGGATCCGATCGCCTCGCGTAACGCGAATTCCACTCGATTTTTCACTCGACCGGCGATAATTATTCCTCCCTCCTATTTTACGCGATCTCACGACTCGATCAGCGGCAAAGTAACGAGAAAAGGAGAACGGCGGACGCTTTGTTCGCGCATCAAATGGGAGAGAGATGTCAGGAGGCTTGGAACGTAAAAGGAACGATACGTCAAAATCTTCTTACGGTTGGTAATAAATGAAATTTGTCGACCTCTCTTTCTTTCTTTCAATAATTTCTTTCGATAATTTCTCTTAATCGTTCCTCTAATTCGTTGCCCGAGCAATAGGATATCGGAGTTTTCCTAGCTTTCTAACTACGCGCCACCAGATGGACGAATTTCTCTCCGACAGATGGTACTTTCACGCGTTAAGACGAACTCGCGGCTACCAGCAGAAGCGGCTTCTTAATAATATTACGTTACGCCCTTGTGCTTCCAATCTGTTATTGTACACCGCTTAATCACCATACTTCATCAAGCATGACTTCCGCACCATGCATAATATCCCAGCTGATGAAGTTTCTCCTCACTCCCCCTCTCTTCTCGACTCTCGCGTAATACCCTCGCGTATCGCGCGACGATATTGACTCCGGGGTAATTAACTCGAAAAAAAACCCTGCGCCGTGTGTATTTTGTAACGAGATTTTTAATAAAGGCACGATCGAGGGGACGAGTCAACGCCATCAACGTTTCCTTACGAAACGACGCGTGTCCCGTAATTTGCACTCGATTCGCTCCTCTCCTATGTCGCTTTTAAACTCGCAAGATTCTAGTTACCTCCAGCCAAGGTTTCGCCCTTCCTTCTCGTCGATTCTCGTTTTGGGCACAGGCGCAATACTCCGCGAATTTTATTATTCCTTCCTTTCCAATTTTTTTCATCTCAGACCGATTAAAGTTTCTCGATCTTTTTTCACAACGTTATACGAATATTTTCTATACCAAGTATCGACATTTTTCAATCATTACGCGCGTGTTTTTTTTTCTTTTTCTAGATCGCGAAACGAATCACGGGGACGAGAGACGAGCATAAAAGCTTTTCACCACCGTCCCCGCGAGATGGTTTGTACGATTTAATGCGGCTCGACAGACATGACGCGTAACAACGAGTCGAGCAGCGGCTAGAACAAGAAGAAGAAGAAGAAGAGGAGGAGGAGGAGGAGGAGGAGGACGACGAGAGTCTTAAGCAGGTATGTACCACTACTACTACCGACCGAGCTGGGCGTAGCGTGGTCGCAAGGTGGACGATAAACCGTGGAGATGGTACTCCGCGATCATCTCGTTGATGCGATCTGTCGAGGATCAACCGCCACGATTCACCTCTCCTCCTCTCTCTCGCATTCTCTTCTCGCTTTCACCTTTTCCTCGTCCCTCCTCTCCCCTCGTTCATCCTCCAAGATTTCGGGTGACGGTTAACGAGTTCGATGCCTCGTAAAGGAGACCCCTCAACAGACTTTGTTACTTTGTCTCGTGGGGAGAATTATAACGCTGGCGGGTTCGAACCCGGTATCTCTACACTCCCTAGGACCATAATTATGGATCTTGATGACAGACCGAAATAGTAGCAAACGGGAGGGGGAGGAAGAACGACCGCTATTAGGAACGCGGTCGTGTACAAATGTTCCACGAGGGGGCTGTAACGTGGAGATCCGCCCCACTATGCGAGGGCTTCGTTGTTTGCCCACGGAAACCGAGAATTACTCGCCCACGTTTAGTTCATCCCCTTTCTCCCGTTTCCACGAGAAACATTCTCCACCCCCTTCTTTCCATTCGCGATCGAGGAGAAAAAGGGATGAGATAAAGATAAAGAGAGACTCGAATAATACAAATTAGCCGGAGAAAATTGCGTTAACGCAACGCTGCCTCTTAATGGATGTCCCGGTTAGTTACGCGCAACGAGAGAGCACGAAAACGTTACACTCCGTGGAACAGCGAAACGATTCGTAATGACAGCGGTATTCGACAAAGGAGGGCGGCCTTTTCAATTTTAAACAGCCGCTTCCGTGGGCAAAAGCGGTGAAGGTCGTAGTCTCTCGAGAAACGAGACAAGGCGCGCCTCCTCTCTCTCTCTCTCTCTCTCTTCCCCTCCCTTCCCTCGGATGAGGGGAACGCGATAAGGGTTGGGTGTCCTCGCAGAGTATGGATTTCAACGATTCCTCCTCCGGTGACTGGCATAAATCAGCGCCACGGCCATCTTGCGGGGGCGTCCTACGTGTAAATGCTCGCGTTACGATCCGATAACGAGCGAAAGGAAGCGCGTCGTCCCCTCGCCTCCTCTCTCTCCCCCCCTCGATCCCTCCTCCGCTCTTTCGGAGGATCATTTGCATAATATCCCTCTTTCATCCTCGCCACGCTAACGAGCCTACATTCAGCCCTCGTTCCTACGCGAACGCATCCTTTCAGACATTCCTTCCACTTTTCGTCCTTTTGTCGTCCAATGGGAAAACGCGTAGATTTACGCGGTAGTGTTTCTTTCTTTCTTTACTCATCGTTATATCCAACACGTACAGGTTTTCGTTTCTCTTTTGGAAAGTAAAATTTAGAGGGGGAAGACGAAATAATATCAGGTTAGAGATATATAGGATGTAAAAATTTGGGACAAACCTTGAAGAGGATTGCGATTCCGATGGCCACGCCGGTATAACCGCTGCCGACGATGACGATTTTAACGCGATGCCCATCCACGAAATCTTCCGGCTGCTTGGTGAGCAAAAACGTTGTCGTGTTCCAGGCGGTGTCGAGTAACTTCTTTTTGGGCACGGACATGGTTAACGAACGCGATACTCACGAGTCAGGTGTAACATCCCGGGGATTCGATCGAGTCGAAAACAGAAATTAGATCGGAAAATCTGGAATATCTCTACAATACTCTGTAAATTTCGTCTCCATCAAGATCAAACAACAAAAGTGACTGTCAAACGTTCTTCATCCTTTCGCCCGAAGTTGGCCGCTCGCGTAGCCAACAAACGTTTCGTCCCGCGATCCTATCGAGATTAATAAAATTGAAAGATTCGAAATATATCGATTTTCGAAAATTTCTTCTATCGGTCCCTCTCGATACCGATATATATTCCGATCAAATCGATGGACAGCTGTCGAATCGGCGCATATGGGAGATACACGCCAATTTCAATTTCCGCTCACACGCCCGATATTCGAGATCCGGCACGAATATCGAATTGCCCGAATATCCAACATTGCCCGCCGCAATATCCATTTCCTTCCTTCCTTCCTTCCTTCCTTCCTCTCTATTCTACCTTTCGTCCAACGTCAATCTTCTCCCTCCTTTTCTTTTCCAATTTGACTTTTCGCGGCAAAGGAAAACGGAGGAAAATGCAGGAAGAGGAGTCGTCATTCGCGTTTTATTATTGGTCGTCGAGCGAATCAAAGGAAAAACGCGAGGTAACAACAACGCAACGTTGGGCGATTGGTAATAAAATCGGGTTGCATGGCCGTGACGAAACATGTTCGAAACGTGTTCTCGATCTTCGTTTGGACGCATCGCATCGCGTGATCGACGCGCGGATGATCCATCGGCAGACGCC